GGAAAAGTACTCCTCGGAACGGCTGGTTCGTGGTTCTTCCTTGACGTGGCCTTCTATGGTCTTGGCCTCAACAATTCGATCATTCTCAGTGCCATCGGCTATGCCAAGGGCAGTGATGTGTACTACATCTTCCGCAACACCGCCATTGGCAATTTGATCATTGTTTGCGCTGGCGCCATTCCTGGATACTGGGTGACTGTTGCAACTGTCGACACCATTGGCCGGAAGCCTATCCAGTTGATGGGATTCATCTTGCTCACCGTTCTCTTTGTTGTCATCGGGTTTGCATATCATCACCTGTCCGAAGGCGCACTTCTTGCCCTGTACGTCCTTTGTCAATTCTTCTTCAACTTTGGCCCCAATGCCACCACATTCATCGTACCTGGAGAATGCTTTCCAACTCGGTATCGCTCGACCTCTCATGGTCTGTCCGCGGCATCAGGCAAGGTTGGAGCCATTATTGCCCAGGTTGTTTTCGGTCCTCTGCGAACCAAGGGCCACCCAACGACTGCAAATCCATCTCCATGGCTCAACCACGTCATGCAGATCTTTGCCCTCTTCATGCTTTGCGGTATCTTCACTACCCTGTTGATCCCCGAGACCAAGCGCAAGACCCTGGAAGAGCTTGCTGGAGAAGTTCCCGGCACCCCCAACTATGACCCTGAGATGTCTGGTCACCGCAAGGCGTCATATGTCCCCCCTGGAGACGACGAAATTTCGCGCGAGACCAATGAATTGAATGAAAAGGCGGTGGTGTGAACTGAGGCCATCGTCCGGATGATGTCAGCGGGAGCGAGGATGGTTGCATCTGACAGTGGCCGATGCTACATTGGCATCTTGGAATTGGCATCTTGGAATCGCATTGTATAGTAAGCAACGATGAGAGAGGACGAAATTAGATACCTTTCAGGCCTCATCATCAAATATGATGTGGTTGGCTTTCATAAAACCAATTTTACCAACTGGCATAAATCTATGGCACACGTTAAACATTGGTCATCGCGGGTAGTTAGACCGCACAAGGATGAAACTTCATTGACAGCATTGTAGCTTTAGTGCTGAGAAGACATAAATTCATCGACATCAATACCAGTAACCCACCAGATGGAGGTAAGGGTCCTTGAAGGGGTAGATGGGTGGGAAGTAGGGAAGGAAAGGTAAAAGATGAGATCGATCGTGGTTCTACTTTGCTAGCTCGCTTGATTGACTTTTGCGCGAATGACAGACTTCAGATCAATCGTAGGTAACTACGTCAGAGTGTCAGGCCCTAGGGCCCTAAGTCAGGTGAGAGAAGTATCTGGGGCAAATTGTTCTATTGGAAGCTAGAAAACTCCAGGAGTCTATCGATGGTAACTGTGCTATATGTTTTTTGTGGATGGCAACCCGTATCACGTGTTGTTACTAATCACGTGATCATGTGGAAAAATCATCACGTGACACATAGTGTTTTTGTCTTATCAGGGCATATCAGTGAATCTCCTTTCTTGGTTTTGAAAGGAGATGACATTTGATATCGTTGCAACAGGCTCAACATGCATGGACAAAAGGCCCACTATATTCAGCTAAGTCTTTGTCATAATACAAGACCTTCTTCTACGCCTTAAGCTTTTGCCGTGCGGTTAATGCCCAACAACTCAGCGAGGCCGGCACGTTCCAAAGCGTCGATGACATCAAGATTGAGGCGAAGGACGTTGTGCTGTAGCGGAATCTGATAGTAAGGGATGGGTTGGACATTGAAGGTGGTGGTGTTGCCGACAACATCGATGGGCAGGATTCCATCTTTGTACTGGTTGAAGATGAAACCTAGCACGGCGGTCTGGTTGGTGACGGCGCGCAGCTCCATTGTATTGTTGCCGGGCGCCAGAATCATGTCGTTGATGGTCGCATTGCCCACCGGGGTGCCGTCTACAGACATGCTCAGCGTCACCGTGCCCAGTTGCACCGTCATCACTGTTGGGTTGGGGATCACGAGCGTTCCGTTGGCGTTGGACCCATCATCTTGGGGTGTCGTCAGGATGTTGAACTCGGTCACGTTGAACCCTTCCAGGTGGTTCAGTCCTATTTGAAGACACATGCTCAGTAAGTGAATTGCTCGTGTATATTGACAAAGAGGAGTGGGATGGACGCACCTTTCATCTTGATTTCCTTGTTGTAGTTGACATTGGTGTTGGGAAGACCGCCTTGCTTCAATCCACCCTTTCCTTTCAGGAAAATCGAATACTCCTCTGTGCCCAGCGTCGTCGCCACGTACTTGGTGTACTCGGTCAGGTCGGCGATTTGAACTCGCTGCGACACTTGGCTCTCCACACCGTCTCCAGCATCCATGGCGGGGATGTCAAGGTATGCGAATGGGACATCACTGTCGGGGAGTTGCAGCGATGCGTTGAATGCATCGAGCCTGGGATGATATTTCGAGTCGGTGTGAAACACTGTGGTCAGTTCCAGATCGAATGAGTCGGGAGCCGGATTGAAAAGTGACAAATTTATGACTTCCAGCTCCGACTTGTTGATCTCCTTCTGGGCAAGGTTGGGATATCCAACATATATGCTGTGATGGCATGAGCTGGTTGGCCTACTTGGATGAATCGCGACTGGGGCGACACCTACACAGGAAGAACGATGACGAGGACAACAATGATGAAGACGATAACGTGAATCCACCAGAATCGAGCACAATGTCGCTTGAGCTTCTGTCGAAATGTGGGTTTCTTGCCCGACTCGACGCCGTCGCTCTCGACATGGCTCGGCTCGGTCTCTTTGTTGATGTCGTTGGACATTGTTGACTGACGACTTGATGTTTGGAATGTGACTAGCACAACTCAGGCGGGAGAGCAGCCTAGGGTGTCTCTCGACAGAAGGACTAAGGACAGTGGCTGATATTGACACAGGTCAAATCGAAGTATCTCAACTCAAGTTTGCACAACTTACGAAGGACAGCGAAAATCAAGTACTTTACATTCGAAGCAAGCCAGTACTGGGGGGGACATTCAGGCCAACTAGAGAATCTCTTCCTGGTACTTTTGGGGGAATCAAGGATGTCTCCTTTGCCACATTCCAACCAATTGGAACCATGAAACCTGGGGTCTGCTGTCGTGTGACATGTCGTGCACCGTGCCATTTCGAATTTCTCGGGCCTTGGGGCATGGCCTCAAGTCGTACCAATTGCTTTCACATGCATGAATCCGAGCAAAAATCTGCAAACGAGGGCTCAAAACAGAGATGGTCAACAGCCACGCCGAGGAAGTTGGTCGGCCAAATCGAATCACATGCGCATTTTGCAACCGCGACTAAACCCAATGCCAGTACGTAAGGTCGCAACAGCGTCGAGTAGCAATCTAGATGTCTTATGTTGGTTGCAACAAAATCCGCGGGGTGCCGGCCATTGGCAGGCTTGCATAGAGACTTTTGGCAAGGAGCCTCGACGGGTAAAGACTGGAAGGCCAATGTCATTGCTCAAGAAAAGCCATTGACAAGGGACAATGCGCCTAGGGAGGTCCCGATTGGGAAGGGAAGGAAAGATCTTTAAGTCGGAAGTCAAGGAACATGGGACGTGAATTGTAACCCTTTCGCAAGACTCCCTGTCGCTTGAAGTCTGTAGGTTGACAACATCACCAATGGTCAATCAAGGTTTCGGCGCCTCTCCCTGAATTGACGCCCTCTCCGCGCCCGCTAATCTATTTCCAGTGCCTCGTCCGGGGATCGCCTCCGCAACCCACGCGCCAGAAAATACGGAGTGCAGCAACTCTAATTTGCCAAACTGGTCCCGGGGTTCCGAGGTCCCAGGACCTGGGGCTTCTCGTCCCTGGATGGCAGAACCGCTGATCCAAGTGGATGTCTGATTGAGTAATAACAATGGTGAGTGAGGTAAGTGGTCGATACCTACTCGTAGGTTCGCCATGACGCGAGAGAGCGGGCGTGCATCGACAATATCAAACTTTGACTAAAGGACAATCTATCCTACATCCGAGGCATCCAGAGAGAAACCTCCACTGGGATTTCGAGATCTACATTCATTCACCTCGACTTGTGGGACTACATCTGATGCGATTGAACACATGTGCGAAATTGATATCGGCTCCAGTACGACGAGTTGGGAATAAGGTATGCTACTGCCTACTTCTAGGTAACTCGATCAATATAGACCGAGAACGAATATAATATCAATGCAGAATCTCGAGGCCGGTGCAACAAGAAATCGTTCTGCACGTAAGAGCAAGTGCCTCGGTCACTTTTTGTCACATGCTAGAAATCATAATTCCGAGCTTCGATATCGAGCTCCCTGATCCCTGTTCAAGGATCTTGCCGGCCCTGGCAGATGTGGAAACTCCAGGTTCCCCAACAAGCTTCTGTACCTTGAGAATTCTCCGTAGAATCATCGACCAAGAATATAGAGTTGCGGGTCTCTGTCACTACACTGCAGTGCTACTGTGAAATCTCACTACCAACTTGCCTCGGTATAGCTGGACAGACCGCTCCTCCAACAAGGCTAGCGAACACTACCATAAGACTAGCGAGCACTACCATACCAGTATACTTACCTTACCCATCGAGGTTGATCATGGCATGCAGGTCACCGTAAAAGAAACTCGAATCAGCCGACAGGTGATGCCGACGATGCCCAGGGGCACAAAGAGACTAGCAGTGAATAGACAAATTGCTATTGGATATGGACGCGATCGAGTAGACTGCTCTCTCAAACATAACGAATCATAGTTTATGTAAATGTTCTTCTACACTGCCTCTATCATAGTCCTGCTCGCATGAGAATTATGTATCGTATGCACCCCAGAACAACAGGGGTAGCATATACGGCATAGGTACAATACATACCCGGTGCATCGCCTCTGCCCCTCAGATGTCGTCAAATCAAAACGGATTAAATTCTATCGCTTCATCGCATCGTCTATCAAGGTGTCATTCAACCCTATGGTTGGGTTGATGGTGAGTGCCCGACTAAGTAGTGCATCTAGTCTGGCGGGGGAGCTTCTTTTGTGACCCCACTACAATCCAAGCTTCTTGTTGGCATCCGAGTTCCCCTTCATTGCGATCTGCTTGATCTGCTCATCTGGAGGAAGAGCGTCAAAGGCGGCCTTATTTGCGTCCCACTGCCTGACACACTCGGCATCCCAGTTGCATTTCTCCACTTCCCCATAGACCGGGTGGTTGTAGCGAGGGTGCATAGCAGGCCACCCGGATGCATGATAGTGATGCTTCACAAGTGCCGTTTTCGCGTTGTGGTTACCCGAGTCTGAATGGCCCTGGCCTGCAGCAAAGGCTTCCACGGTGAGAACTAAAACATCTCCAACCAATTTCGACTCTCCCAAGTTATGGAAGTTGTCGAGCCATGTCACTGGGCGCTCGGCCTTCATCGACATATGGTCGAGAATCGCCTTGGTGAATGCTGAAGGACCAGTCCCGCTGATGACCTCGTCGAACCCAAGCTGGATTTCTGAGATTGGCACTTTCTGTTGCCTCGCGACCGAGTTAAGCCATTTGACAATGTCGTTGATCAGCATCATCATCACCGGCAACCGTGGCTTACTCATGAACGTCCACTGGCAGAAGGACTGCGACTTTTTTCCGAGAATACTGTGATTGTTGAACTCGGGCTGGTCAATTTCGATGCCGATCACCATATCCAATGATCGCTCGTCGTATCTATCGGGGATGAATCGAGGGATAGGCTTGAGCGCCTCAACATCAATGTCTGTATAGACGCCTCCTTCCACGTACATGACCAGATATCGTAGTAGATCCGCCTTGATGATCTTCAGTTGCAGGGAACGATATACTCGCACAATGTCCACCCTGTTGAAGCCGGACGGGCCGAAGTGTGTTTCGACATAATGAAGATCGTTCTGGTCCGTCAAGACTTCATATCGGTAGTCAGGGTTCTTCGCCGTCCATGTCTTTGCTGTCGTCAGATCTCTGGCCTCAAATCCTAATGGATCGACCTTCCACGTCTGCCAGATCTTCTTGGGGAAATGACCGGTTGCCAGTGTGGACTTGTATGACATTTCAGTGCTGCCATCTCCGAATGAGCCGGCGCTCGAGATGAGTAGAAGCACGATACAGGTCACCGCAAACACGGGGAGGAAACGCCGCACGTGACTCGCGCCGAACACGGGAGCTCCAGAATAAATCATCTGGTCAGCAATAGTAATGGTAAGAGGAAAAGTAGCGAGTGTAACGAGACGAGCGAATGACTTGCAAGGTTCAGAGGGAACGAGTGGATATACAGCACATAGTCTCCCCAGAGTCGAAACGAAAGACGATTCTTCTTACCTTGAGGTCGTCCAAGAAGAACCTTTTTCACTTTTTGTTCTCGGTGGCGGGTGATTGAGGAAAAGATTCTCCCAGAAATGTGCTAACCCGCCTATCTCCATCCTCGTTCCTGGTCTGGTGTGGTTGGGTCTGGCCTGGCGTCAATTGTGCCTGGATAATGTTGATACTTACTCGACCTATGGAGTACTTTGTGTCAATCGGTCGCCTCGGTATTCCGGATCACCAGCATCAAAAAGCCAAGGTCACTTCATGCACAGCTAGGCTGGTTTAGAGCAACAAGCTAAAAGCTTTGTGAGCGGAGCTCGATACTGTTTCGGGACCAGCGTCATGCATTTTACTTTGGACCTTTGCTAGCGCCCTCCGGGCCGACAACATCAGCACATCTTCTCGACGATGTGATGAGCTCCCCTCCTCAACTCCCTAGCTCTACGAAGACTATCCCTCCTCGGTATAATAACTGTCAAAGCTAGTAGTCTGATCAACAGTAGAAACTTGCAATTGGCGCAGTGAGTCTAGAGCTTATTCTCACCATTTGGGAGCCCCACTACAAATTCAAAGTCGACGAGTTTAATTCAGGTCCCACATTGACGAGGCATTGTCAAGATCGTGGGTCGCAGGCAATGTGTTCTAACATCTAGACCATGGAATGATCGACCTACGAGTATCTTGGTCTACGATAAGTCGCCTGTGCCTGCGCACCCATGATGCTTGTTCTAGCTGGCATCCTATCGAATCGCACCGTATCACCGATCCACTTCCGATATCGGTCGTGTCCGAACTCGGATGAACTACTGCCCTGGCACGCAAGGGCATTTATTCGCTATAACGCTTGTCACGACTTGACGGTTTGTGCAAAGTCCTAGATGGCATTGACAAAACCTGCACGTTCGCTTCGAAGCGATCCACCGTCGAACACCGCTTCTGGGATGGCTGGAAGCGACAATGTGAGACCCAAGGCACGAGTCTATCAAGTGGCGTCCCGCGGCGGCTCGGCGGTTACACACATATCCTTGCTATCCTGAGGTCAGATTCTTGTCTGTCCATGTGATATCGCTTCGGACGGATCGAGATTTTCCTTTTCCACCTTGCTTCTTCCCCTGCGACTGACATCACACCTTGCATTCGCCATACCTCGGACCCAACCTCTTCATACCCCATGTGATAATCGGATGAGGTGCTCTGGACTAGGAGCTCCTCACTGGAGCTTCAGCAACCTAGTCCCTGTCCACATTTATGCAGAGAAATCGGCTATTTGAGTCAAAGTCGTCAAAGATCGGACGTCTTAGGAACAGGCTGGGACCTTGCCTACGCCGGAAGAGCGACCCTCTCAGGATGATATATTCTAGCACTTGACAGACTTCCTTGCAGTTTCCGAATATTATGGCTCTTCCTCACAATGGCTAAGCAGCGCGAAGGACTACTGGGCCAGCATCAATGGAAACCCAAGAATCCAGATGCAAACACCCCCCAAATAGTTCGTCTCGCGAGATCCTGTAACAATTATGTTCGCCCTGCCTTCTTGACAAAGCCGAAATCAAACGGCAATGTGAGGCGCACTGCCTACTTGGATGGCCTTCGTGGCTTTGCTGCTCTCCTTGTCTACTGGCTTCACCATCAACTATGGGCCCACGAGTGTCTCAACGGTGCAGCGATCCTGCAAAATGCTTTTGGCTACAAAGGCCAGCATTATCTAGCGTGTCTGCCATTCATCCGTCTCTTCTTCACTGGTGGCCACTTTGCTGTGGTTGTCTTCTTCGTCCTTTCAGGCTATGTTCTATCGACGAAGCCTCTGGCTCTAATCCAGTCGGGCGACCTCCTCACCCTTGGCGACAACATCTCCTCTGCGCTTTTCAGGCGATGGATGCGCCTAAACATCCCAGTCATATGCACGACTTTTCTCTATATGGCATCATGGCACTTCTTCAAGTATCGAGTCGAGATGGAACCCAAGAACTCCTTCCGCGATGAACTGTGGTGGTGGTATTGCGAGCTCAAGAACTTCACCTTCGCCTGGCGCACAGGCGGCGAAATGTGGCTTACATACAATTATCACGCCTGGTCTATCCCCGTCGAGTTCAAAGGCTCTCTCACAATTTATACGACCTTGATGGCCATGTCGCGCTTTAAACGCAACGCTCGCCTAGGCTGTGAGGTCGTTCTCATCATATACTTTATGTATATCGCAGATGGCTGGTTCTGTGCGACATTTGTTGGAGGAATGTTCCTCTGCGATCTCGAGCTGTTGGCGGCACACGGCGATTTACCCAAAGCCGCCGGTCGCTTGAAGCCCTATAAAACCATCATCTTTTATACACTGTTTGCCATATCTCTCTATCTGGGAGGCATCCCCTCCAACACGGCAGATGTTCAAGACTTGAGAGATTCGCCAGGATGGCACTATCTGTCCTACTTGAAGCCTCAAGCAGTCTTTGACTACAAGTGGTTCTACTTGTTCTGGGCAGCAATGTTTCTTGTCGCTTCAGCTGGGCATATTACATGGCTTAAATCTTTCTTTGAGCTGCCCTTCAACCAGTACCTTGGGCGAATCTCCTTCGCATTCTACTTGGTGCATGGGCCAGTACTATGGATTCTTGGGGACAGAATATACTGTGCTGTGGGATGGTCTCGAGAGGGCCATGCTGTGAGCATGCCCAGCTGGATCAACCTGTTTCCCATCACAAAAGCAGGCCCACTAGGATTGGAGGTCAGCTTTCTCCTTCCTCACTTGATAATTCTACCTGTCACGCTCTGGACGGCTGAGGTGGCCACCACCTTGTTCGACGAACCCAGCGTCAAACTATCGCAGTGGCTGTATGGAAAGATGCTGTCTGCGCCAAATAAAGCATGACGAATAACGGAGAAATGGAAATTAGATGATACTAACAAACATTAATGCCGGTCCCATCACGGGCTAGCAGTATAGACGAAATCACAACTGAGCCACGTAGGTTGTAGGCAGCCTAAGGGCATAATGAATAGCTAGAATTTAAACCTACTCCATATAACAGGTGATGGTAAATACCTCGTAGATCGCTGCCCGGGGAGAGCTCTGCCTCGGTTTTGCAAGCGGAAATCCATGCACCCGTGTTCATTAGGTATCCAGGTGATAGTACTCATCAACGAGGAGACTAAGCAAGGATTCTCTCACCAGCCTCTCTGCAAACCTGCTTCTCCACTCTATCTGCATGCTTGACATCGCCACCTCTTTCTCGTTCTGGATTATGTCCTGGAGACATACTCTTCTTCCCTTTTTTAAGGAAATTCCTCTCTTGCACCGGCTTTCACCCAAAAGTTCAGGCATCCTGAATACCGATGATTTGACTTCCCCGATCTTGCACAAAATGCTCGTCACACAGAAAAAGCGCCTAACGCTCTTGATTTCGATTGTCTTAGTCTTCGTGACTATTTCCGTGGTGCTGGCAGGAGGCTGGATAAAGCTGCCGCATCGCTTGCAGTCAAGTGGTCTCTGGCCTCATCGGTCCCCAATCGACGATAAGCCGTTCAGCAATGAGAAACCAGGCGTACCAGAATCTCACATCGAACTCTTCTCGGCGTCAAACAAGAAGGGCAGATATTTCGAAATCTCATTCGGAGGTGAGGAAGCGTTGAATCCAAGCATTATTCCGCATCCAGTCTCCAAAGACGTCTGGATAATCACGGCTCAAAAGTCCAAGCACACGAGCGAGAACTCGGTTTGGTTTGCTGAAATTGTTTGCAATGCAAAGTTCAACCGCAAAGGCATCCTCAGTTGCATCGATACTCCTACCAATCTCCCTGTCGCTGCAACCGACGGGGACAACTGTGAGGGCCCCTTTGCTTTGATGAGTCTAAATGTCGGCCCTCACGATGCTAGGGCATTCTATGGGCCACGACGCCCATACTTGGTCTACGGCTCAAATTCTGGGTACACATGTTTTGGACAATGGATTCAAGACTTCAGAATGCTTATGGACTGGGAAGGTCCATCTATGGGGGACATAGACTTTAAATTCGGCACAGAGCTTCAGAGGCCAGCACCTTTCAATGCACTCGAAAAGAATTTTTTCGTCTTCTGGGACAAGAATGGAGACATATACGTCCATCACGATATGGCACCAACTCGAGCGTTTGCCCGTCTGCACTCTGACGGGTCAGTCGGACCAGATCTTGCGCCATTGGCTCTGCAAAACGACAACAAATGTGTGGCAGAGTATCTCCCAAGTATTGCACCACACCTGGAGTCTATCCACCAAGCGACTAATTCGCTTTCAATTACACTGTGTGCAAGATCTGATCCTTCGTGCGAGCCCGACGACTCCAACACTTTCATCCTGACCATTATCCAACACAAAACCTTTTACGCTTTTCACAGCGTGTATGAACCATACCCTGTGCTTTTCCACCGCACTGCTCCGTTCCACATTTTTGCCATCTCTCGGAAACCATTGTGGTACCATGGACGGGCAAAGCAGGGAGAGGCCAGGAACCCAAACCTCAAAGGGAGTGCATCAGGCCATGCACAGCCGTGGAACCAGACGGAGATGATGTACACCACATCCATCGCCTGGAAAACTCACGGCCAGAAATATCACGGGTACATAGATGACCAGGTCTTCATCGGTTTCGGTATTGAGGATAAAGGGACAGGCGGAATTGATGTCCCAGCGAGTGCTCTGCTCTCCGACTATGGTCTTTGTTCTGTGCTATAATCATCAGAACAACTACCTCCGACCGTACCAGCATGGTCCTTTCCTGGATATCCTGTGTCACCATTCTTGACACGACGCCGAAGTTTAACTCCCACTTCATTGCTGTGTCAACAAAACTCGCTGATAAAAGTGGCACGATGCTCGACTTGTGTGCAACCCATCTCTCGGAGGGGTGCATGATGGCCCAAAGAATCAGAGTCAAAGTGAACTTCGATGTTCTGCATTCCTCTCACCGCCCATGTTGATAAGGCACATTCGAACAACGAGGAATGAACTAATTCTTTTTGCCACACAACGTTCAAGAGCAGCCAGTTGCGCTGTCGTTACATCTTGGATGCGGCATCATTGATAAGTGTGGCCAGTCCCACGTGGACGTACTGCTTTGGCCTCGTTGAGCTGCTGTTGTGTGACCTTTGAGGCAAGGGGCTGAACACAACACGCTGGCTGCAGCAGATACTCGGAGACCTTCATCATCTTTTGTCCTGATATGTGGGTCTTGTAATCTACTGACCAGTCAATCGCCCTCATCGGTACAGCCATTTGGCAAGCCACAAAGTGTCATGCACCTAGACGTGTAAACAAATCTTGCCCCTAACTCGACTATACATCTGCAGAGGAATCTCTTGATCAACCACAATGTCTCACACAGCTTAACAGATGGTACACAGGACCTCGACTTGGCCGGAACGATCTTGTCACCTCGTGGAGACGAATCAACTTTCAGGGTGAGCTCCCTGCCAATCCGATTCTCTTTGCAATCTCCTATTCCTTTCGCCGTCTAACATAGTTGTGGATTTACATCGGACTCTTTATCACTCACAACTGCATCCATTGCTTCTTCACCCTGGCCTCATGATCACCAGCCATCTCCAGTACCATGCCGCTCCTTCGAAGTCTTTCGTCTCGCCTTGGGAGGAAGCATGAAAAGGTGCCCGTCGAAGACCGCCAAAGCACAAATGGATCTCCTAGCTCTGCCACGAGGCAGACGCAGTTGAACGACGCAGGCATGACACCGATCGATGAGAACAATATTGGACATCAGCGGGGTGAAAGTCTGGCCCCTGACCAAAGGGCACGCGGCAGCCCAGATACAGGTTTGGTGCTCCAAAAGCCCAACAGAGCAAATTCCAGCAATAGCGCAGGACAGAGTTCTTCTACGGCAACACGCAAAGATGCTGAAAACACCTTCGAGAAATTCGCCCAATTGATCCACGCCTCAAGGCGACCTCTTCCAACACAGACTGGAGATGGTCAGTACATTAGCCGAGAGTCCAGTACTGGAGTTTTGGGAGATCTTAAAGCTATGAAAATGAGAGACATCAAAACTGTGAAACACATCATGGGCGACAAGGCATCAGGAATGCCCCAAGATGACCGAAAAATGCATATGGAAGAGGTACATCTGGCTTAGGCTCTGGCGTGAAGACTTTCAGAACTGATTGTATGCTCTTACAGGTGATTCAGCTCGTTGCTGGACTGCCGAGCCGCTCAGCACACCGGGTTGAGTTGACGAGTCTGTTCTTGGATGAATTATGGAACTCACTCCAACACCCACCGATGTCATATTTGGGTGACGAATTCAAATATCGTTCTGCCGACGGATCTAATAACTCATACCTGTTCCCAAGACTCGGTGCCGCTAACACTCCATATGCGCGGCCGGTGGTACCTAAAACAATTCAGCCTGGGGCACTTCCTGACCCAGGATTGCTCTTTGATTCTCTTATGGCACGACAAGAGTTCAAGCCACATCCAAACAACGTCTCTAGCATTTTCTTCAACTGGGCGTCACTCATTATTCATGGTATGTACTACGGCCGATGGCAGTTGCCACAAGAAATGCTGACCCACCACAAGACCTGTTCCAGACGGATCACCGTGACTACAGTATCAGCAAGACCTCTAGTTATCTTGACCTGTCGATATTATATGGCGACACCCAAGAAGATCAGAATGAGATGAGAACATTTCAAGATGGTAAAATCAAGCCGGATTGCTTTGCCGAAGAGCGACTACTTGCATTTCCCCCATCTTGCGGCGTCATGTTGATCATGCTGAATCGCTTCCACAATTATGTGGTCGAGCAATTGACACTCATCAACGAGAATGGGCGATTTTCCAAGCCGTCTGGAAATCTGTCAGACGGAGCTAGAGACAAGGAATGGCAAAAATATGATAATGACTTGTTTCAGACTGGCCGTCTGATCACATGCGGGCTCTATATCAACATCACCCTCTACGACTATCTTCGTACAATTGTCAACCTCAACCGCACAAACAGCACGTGGACACTAGACCCCAGACTTGACAAACCCAAGACCTTTGCCCATGATGGCACTCCTAAAGGACTTGGAAATCAGGTCAGCGCAGAGTTCAGTCTCTCCTACCGGTGGCATTCATGCATTGGGAAACAGGACGAGGCTTGGACCGAGCAAATATTTTCAGAACTGTGTGGAAAACCCGCGTCAGATGTTTCTCTATCGGAGTTGATGGTCGTTCTGGGCAAGTATGAACATGATTTACCAAAAGACCCTCAGCAAAGACCATTTGCAAACCTGAACCGCAATGCTGACGGAAAATTCAATGATTCCGACCTTGCTAAGGTCATGATTACTGGCATTGAACAGGTTGCAGGGGCATTTGGGGCACGAAACACCCCCAAAGCGCTGAGAGCCACGACAATTCTTGGAATCATGCAAGCCCGTTCTTGGAACGTCTGCAGTCTCAATGAGTACCGCAAATTCTTCGGCTTAAAGACGTATGACTCGTTCGAGGAGGTCAACAGGGACCCTTACGTGGTGCAGCAACTGAAAAATCTATACGAACACCCCGATTTCATCGAACTCTACCCAGGATTGGCAGTCGAAGATCATAAAGACCCCATGGTCCCTGGTGTAGGCATCTGTCCTACTCATACCATATCCCGTGTCATATTGTCAGATGCAGTGTCTCTGGTCCGTGGAGATAGGCACTACACGACCGACTTTTCACCGCGAAACCTGACGGCCTGGGGATACAACGAGGTATTGTATGATTTGAATGTCAACCAAGGTTGCGTGTTCTACAAGCTGCTGCTGCGTACTTTACCGAATCATTTCGCGCCGAACAGTATCTATGCTCATTGTACGTTGTATCAAGTATCCGAAACCGTCATTTCTTGACTCTAGAATCACTAATCTGTTCAGATCCAATGACCATACCATCTGAGAACGCAAAGATCATGAGAACTCTGGGGCGATATGATGAGTACGACTGGACTCCCCCTGTCGAACAACGAACAAGAATCAATCTCACCACATACGAAAATGCAAAATATATTCTGCAAAGACCTCAAGATTTCAAAGTCATGTGGAATGATGGGTTAGGCTTCGTCATGGGTCCGGCAGGCGAGAACTTTTGCCTTGGCGGCGACTCGGTGTTTCATAGAAAACAAAAGGAGATCATGCACAAGCTGATCTACCGTGACGCCTGGCATACTCATGTCAGAGCTTTCTATGAACAGACGACGCTCCGATTACTTCGAGAGAAAAGTTGTACAGTCGCAGGAATTCGACAAGTTGACATGACTCGAGACGTAGGTAACCTTGCCCATGTTCATTTTGCAGCAAACATGTTTTCGCTACCACTAAAGACGGTGGATAACCCCAAAGGTATCTTCACTGAGCATGAGCTGTGGATGGCAATGAGTGTTATTTTCACCGCCATCTTCTTCGACTTTGATCCTTCAAAATCATTCCCACTTCGCCAAGTTGCCAGACATCTTGCGACTACACTCGGCAACTTGATCGAAGCAAATGTCAAATCTGTGATTGCCACTAGGTTTGCGTCGAGATTTTTGGATTCTTTCAGAGACAATGACACACCACTCTCAGAGTACGGTATTCACATGATTCGGCGATTGAGCGAGAACGACATGACAGCACATGAGATGGCTTTCAGTCAGATCATGCCAACAGCTGTAGCCATGGTGCCCAATCAGTCTCAAGTCTTTACACAGATCATGGATTACTACCTTGGTGACGGCTTATCTCACCTCCCCCATATCCAACAGTTGGCTCTGGACAACAGCGAGGAGTCCGAAATGATATTGCAGCGCTATGTTAACGAAGCAATTCGCCTCAACGGCACATTCGGAAGCTACCGACTCAGTCAAACCAGCCATGTATTCACCGATAACGCACGACAAGTCCAAGTTGAGCCGGGAGACAAGGTTTTCTGCAGTTTCGTTGGCGCTGCTCGTGATCCGGACGTGTTTCCAGACCCAGACCGAGTCCGCTTGGATCGGCCATTGGATTCGTACATTCACTACGGTGTTGGCGAGCATACATGCCTGGGCAAGGAGGCCAGCATTGTTGCCCTAACAGCAATGTTGAGGACGATGGGAAGGCTGAAGAACCTTCGTAGAGCACCCGGTCCTCAAGGGCAATTAAAAAAGGTCAGTCCCATCAAAGTTGGAGGAAAGATCATGCATCTAACTGATACAGGTTCCTCGCCCTGGTGGGTTCTACGTTTACATGAGAGAGGATCATGGCTCGTACTTTGTCTTTCCGTGCACGTTCAAGGTTCACTACGATGGGGAGCTACAAGCTCTCAAATCGCCCTAGAACCTGGCTTTAGATGAGGTGAGGAGACTGACCTCTCCGGCAATACTGCAAGATCAGTTATATGGTGGATCGGTGATGCTATACTATTTGCTCAACGGTATGAGAGGTTTCCAACTCGTCTCTCGTCCTCGCTCAGTTGAACTCGCTGTCAATGACGTGACCTGCCAGTTCTTTGTTGTTGCTGTAATCGATATTGACGTCGACCAAAGACACGCCCTGATAAGCGAGTGCTTGAGCCATCACTTCCTCAACTTCTGATTCATCAGACATTCTGAAACCTCTGGCGCCAAAGCTTTCGGCGAACTTCACAAAGTCCACACCTCCGAGCTTGACACCACTGCTGCGTCCATACTTGAGCTCCTCTTGGAACTGGACCATGTTGTAAGAGCTATCATTCCATATGAAATGGGTGATGTTGCAACCCTGTTGAACAGCCGTCGAAAGCTCCTGTGAAGAGAACATGAACCCGCCATCGCCGCTCATCGACACCACCTTTGACGAACACGGAGGCTCTTGTATCAGAGATGCTGCGATTGCCCAAGGTAGAGCCACTCCGAGGGTCTGTTGGCCATCGGAACATAGTAGTTTACGTGGTTGGTATGCAAAGAAGAAGCGCATCATGTAAATGTACACCGTACCCACATCGACTGCAACGGTCGTATTCTCGGAGATTGCCTTTTGCAGTTGTGAGATGAAGTGTAGCGGATGGACGAGCCCACTGGTTCGTGTGATTTGTGGGAGTTTCTGCCATTGCAGGAACTGGTCGGACAGATCTTGGGCTGTTTCGCTTCTGGTAACATCAATTACCTGTTTCAGGTTTTCTGTCAAATAAAGCAAGTTCTCTTTGATAGAGCCAAGAAGCTCCAACAATGGATGGTAGTATGCTCCAACGTCAGATGATGCGTAATCTAGATGGATGATCTTTCGTGCGGCGGTTGGATTCCACAAATTAGCATCGTACTCGACTGGATCATAGCCCACAGCGAGGACAAGGTCTGATTTTGCGAGTGCCTTGTCCCCAACTTGGTTCCGGAACAAACCCACTCTTCCATGGAAAAGATAAGCCAGCTTTTTACTAACAGCACCTGCAGCCTGAAATGTCTCCACCGTGATCAGAGGGTGGGAGGTGAGGAGTTTCCTGACGGCACCAACCACTTGTGGAGACGACGATCGCATGCCCAAGAAGAGAACAGGGAATTTGGCGGCCTCGATGAGTTTTACAGCTTCATTCAGCAAGTCTTGGTGAGCAAGCCCATATCGCGGCGCTGAAAAGGCGTGACTGGGGAATTGCAAGAACTTGGACCTGCCCTTAGCGATATCTGCAGGTATCGAAACCACAGACGCACCCTTGGGTGAGGTGCTGGCAGTTCGGAATGCGGACAGGACAACTTCGGCGGCTTGGTCTTCGACGTCGATGCCAACGGCGCTTTTGGAAGTCGGACCCAAGATCTCCAACGCTCTCATCGACTGATGTGTCCGTTTGGTGTTCATCAGTCTAGGGACAGAACCGATAATCGCCACCACTGGATCTCCCTCGGTTGTCGCCGTGACAAGGCCTGTGGCCAAGTTGGAGGCCCCGGGTCCTGAGGTAGCTACGCACACTCCAGGGATGCCGCTGATGCGTCCAACAGCCGCTGCCATCATGGCAGCATTTTGTTCATGTCGACATACGATCAATCTGATCTCGGGGTGGTCGAGTAGACAGTCGAAAATCGCATCGACTTTGGCCCCGGGGATGCCAAACACGATCCTGACCCCCGCACTGTACAGGCTGTTGACTATGATCTGCGCTACACTGTCGTCCGCCATGGAATCGATCTTTCGATGTACTTTCTCTGCCTTTGTCGCGCGATGATCATGGATGGAACGAAGGAGTCGCTGCGCGAGAAGTTGCAAGGTTTGAGCAACCGAGAAACAGCTCCGAAGCTTCCATCAAGGACGTTGGGAGCCACATGTGAAAGGCCACAAACTCAATTTCATCGTCATCACGAAGCCCGGGCCAGCAGGGTGATACTTGCTTGCTACTTAGATAAGCGGGTCCTATCTGACTCAACGGGCCCTGGCGGCATTGCTTATCACCAATTGGAGGCGCCTAAAGGCTTCTCTCTTCCGGGTGCATCCGCACGTGATTTTTCAGGTGTGAGCTTGCATCACTTCAACACTTCAATGATCTCATCACCAGTCAATGTTGAGGGATAATTTTTATGTCCCTGTTTTCCTTTATCTAGATATAGTACTCTGCACAATTGGGTAGAATATTGTCATCATTCAGGTCAAGTCCCGTGATACACCATGGGTGACAATCAGATCTACCAGTTCTCCCTCGTTAATGCCTTGATGGCGGGAGTTTCTGACTCGGGCATCTCGGTCGAGCAGCTTCTAGCCAAGGGCAATCAAGGAATCGGCACATTCGCACAGATGAAAGGAGAGCTTCTGATGCTCGATGGCAAGGTCTATCAATTGCTCGACGGCGGTCAAACGAGGGTAGCAGACAACACCGACTTGATCCCTTACGCAGTGGCAACCAATTTTGTCCCCCAAAGCACATGTGAAGTGTCACTGAAATCGAAAGACTCCATCTACGAGCTGCTTGAACAGTTCCCGGAATACTCATCCAATTTGTTCCTGGTCTTTCGCTTTGATGGCCACTTCCAGTCTCTCATATGCCGGACGGTTAAGGGCCAAGAATACGAGGGCCAGCCGCTGGCGGACGTTGGCAAGAACCAGCACGTCCAGCCGTACGAAAGTATAGAAGGAACAATCGTTGGCTTTCGCTCCCCCGAGATTTGGCAGGGCTTCTTTGTGGCTGGTGAACACATGCACTTCGTCAGCGCCGATCGGCGAGAAGGTGGGCATGTCCTGGAAGTGTCCGGTGGCCAGGGAAAACTCAGCATTGCAGTCGCCAGGGATATTCACATTGAGCTTCCATCCTCGGATGCATTCAACAAAGCTTCACTGAGTGTAGATGACGTCGGCATCAAAGCAGTCGAAGGTTGAGTTGGTTGCACAACTTCTACTATGCACCAGTGCCATCTCTGCAGTCCCAGCAGCCAACTTTGTCATCTATGATGGCGACCAGCCCAGACGAAAATTAATAACTTGGATGCTCTTATTAAACTTCTTGGATACACACTTTAATGTTCTCGGGATTAAGCTGAACGGCGTCAAGGAGCTCGGTTCTAATGATGAAATTACTACAAAGGCATAGGACGGGCTGTGACCAGTCGCCTATGATGCACAGCTGTCGCAGTAAATCTCGAAACCCTGATTATTTCCGTGTCAGTGGAGTGGCATTGTGGTTGCTTGAGCAGGCACTTACAAGATCGGTTCCTGGATGGCCAGTGCAGTTGCTGGAAAGTGGAAATCGCCTCTGGATTGCTTGCAAGGCATTGTCTGGTGCGGTGTTGAAGACGATTTTGGCTCGTGGTGCTTTGTCGCGATATGTCTGGATGATGTCTGTAGATGGACAAATGAGCAGATGATTCTGAACGTTGAAGTAAGTCTTCAGGATGATACGGACCTTCGAGGCGGACTGTGAGGTCCGGCAAGCGAGCACCTCGAACTCCATAACCAACCCCGGTGCCTTGCCAATTCCTTCCACGCAATCGATCGGCATAGATGCCCACATCTTGTTCTGGACCCGCAAGGACAACTGTTGTGAGGTATACATCAGCGGAGGTTGCTTTATGTTAGCCCCTCTTTCGAGACTCGCCTCTAAGGTTATATCCAGCTTCCACGATTTCGGCGGCATCGCGCCTCAGGGCATTGTTAACCATGTTCGGGTCGAAGCCTTGTTCAATGACTAGAGGGTGGAATGGAGGCAACCCCCTGGAAGGAAGTTCAGCATAAGTCAAGGACAGCACAGGGGAGAGTGGACAAACGTGAAAAAGACATCTACATCACCACAGCCAGGATTCCTCACTGGCGGCCGAGGACCAAAATGAGCCATCGTGCTGCCGAAAAAGGCGATCGTGGCGAAGATGCGAATTCCAACCATGTTGTGCGGCTAGAGGATACGAGGAGCAGAGGATCTGAATGGACGCGGAGGATTAGCCTGAATTGTCTCGGTTGTGGTAGGATAGAATTTGGCTTTTCGTTGTGCCCTTGTAGGAGGCCTAGGACTTTATATTCCTCACAATGCTTAACATCTTGTCCTCCGAGATACTCATTCTCTGGAAACGGTCACTCTACGCAGCTAAGTTGTTCGAAATTACCAGCGAGCCTCAGTGATTGAGGACTGTCCTTACTGCTCCAGTCATACACGGCTGACGGCTCTGGTAGACCGACTCAGGGTGGACGTGCACTCTTCATGGAGGAGAGAGGGTCGTTGACCAACAGAGATGGTGATTGGCTGTAGGGAACCCAACACGGCTGGTATTTGACCGACTCCGAATCTCAGCGGCGCTATCCATCGGCTGGTCTGGAGCCTGATCCGGGAATATGGCCCTTTTGACTCGACCATTTGATTACATCCGTTCAAATTATGCTCAATTAGGTACTATGTCAACGTGGAAGACTGATTAGGGATGGTCAATATGCTGTATCTGTGTATGTTCTCGTGAAATCGGAGTATCTGACTCTTGAAGGCACGTGTGGCCTCTTCCCAATTCGGAAGTTGATAACTCTTGGCAAGTGGAAGTCTTGGCATAGATCTCCGGCTGGGATTCCCCGGCTCCGAGTTCCTCACTTGAAGCGTGCTTCAGTGACTCTCGAATGGGGCATCAGGCTTGAGTCTCCTGTAATTACGGCTCCTAATATCCGTGGCATTGAATAAGAAGATTACCCACAGGACAGTGGCACTGTCAATTACCACTCTTTATAAGCATGTCGTCATGTTTGGGTGGTACTAAGCAACTCGGCGCTGCTGTTTCGACCGATCCAGGTTTGGCACGCAATCACCTTCTTCCTTGTCGTTGGATGGACCCGTGTTTTTTGATCATACTTGAGATTGTGCCCCAGAAAGTCGAGAAATGCTACAAGTCCGGCTCGGCGATCTTGAGAACTGCCTTTCCGTTATTCTGCCCCTTTAACATGCCAACAAACCCCTCAGCAGCACGGTCAATGCCGTCTGTCAAGGCAGTTGTGGGTTTTAGCGATCCGTCGCGGATCCATTTCTTGAAGTTCTCCTGATGCTCTTTGGCGTACTTTCCTCCCATCTCGGCATCGAGTACTTGAAACCCACGCATCGTCAACCGGCGGAATATTACCTCAATCAGATTGGCAATTCGATACTTTTCTCCCGGTGATTGGTTATATGTAGAAATCATGCCACAAGCGACTTTCGACATGTTCAGCTTGTGGACCATGCTTGGATAGGAGGAACTCTTGACTTACCAATGCGCCCAAATAATTTCATGTTGACTAGAGCAGCATCGAGCTGTTCACCCCCAACATTATCATAGTAGATGTCAAGTCCATCAGGTGCGAGCCTTTTGATGGCTTCAAGAGGATTTTCATTCTTGTAATTGAATCCACCATCGAAACCAAGTTGATCAACAAGGAATTTCAATTTATCGTCACTTCCAACACTTGCATAGACTTTGAGTCCGCCTCTTTTCGCAAGTTGTCCCACAATCTGTCCCACAGCACCTCCAGCCCCTGAGATCAAGATCGTCTCACCTTTCTTCGGCTGGCCAATGTCATAGTATGAGCTGTATGCCGTCAAACCAGTGCCATCCAAAGCCCCAAGCAGCACAGGCAATTCAATTCCTTCCATGTCGGATAATTTCTCGGCCCCTGATAAAGATGCCCCATCATGCAACGTGTACTCTTCGATCGGAAGAATGTGTCGAATGAGATCACCAATCTTGAAGGACGGATTATTCGATTTCACAATCTGGCCTATCCCTCTTCCGCCAAAGGGCTGGCCAAGGGGAAAAGCAGCATTATAACTCGTGTCATTGGACGGCTTCAACAATACCCTCTGGTATGGATCAAAGGACAAATAGCAGTTCTTGGTGATGACCGCCCCTTCATCGAGCTTTTGTTCGATATCGAAGTCGCGAGACTCAACTGCAATATCCTGCCCAGGGATCGGATAATTGGTAGGCGGGTTCTTAAAAATTAGCCCTTTGTTGGACACCATGACTCCAATGCAACAGATGAGAAAGTGAGCTTCAGTTCTCCAAGACAGTTGCTCCAGAGAGTTTCAATCTCATAATTTGTTTCCGACATGGTTGTATGATACTGCTGCTTCTGAGGAGTCAACTAAATCTGAGTCAAGCAGCAAGCCGAGTTCTGGGCCGCGGGTAAGTTTCCAGGTCCGAGGGGCCCTCTAAAGACTCGAAGCTCGGTAAAAGGAAAAGTGCCGAGTATTGGTCTTTGCTTCACGGGGGCGGCCCCTCGGCCCAGAAAAGCTTACCCACCAGAACCACTGTGGCAGAACCACCGCAACAACGTAGAAGGCTCTCAATTGCAGCTGGTATGTATTCTTGCCTCATCCTCTGCTCCACGTTCTCTGAGTGTGGTGCGCAGAACAGTACATGGACTGCAAAGTCGTCCCGTGACACCACACTCGGCTGTACTGCTTGTCAAGTAGATTGCACTATTTATGTGACTTACAACACGATTGGAACGTGATCTCGGAAGTGGTCATCTGCGTGATCCGTCCAGTGATCAAAGGAGATAGTTGGGCTGGCTGCACCGTAGGTTGGTAAGCACCATGTTTTAGTAATGGAAGAACGCGAAGTCCCTCGTCGGGCACCAGTAATCAGCGTGAAGATTGCGCTATCTTGATCGACTCGCGGGGGGGGGGGGGGGGGGGGGGGGGGGGGAGTCAAGCCCAATACCTCGATGGTGCAGTGGCTAATGTGGTTGGAGAGATACGATATGCACTGATCGAAAGGCTGCCGTCAGGCATACTTAAAGACATCACGGGACTAGAGTCTGAGGTTGAGGACAAGCATGCGTAGGCAAGAATGAAGGCGAGGGCACCCAGATATTGCTTCCTGACTAAAAGGTCTCGACCTTCAATGGTTCTAGGACTGTCATCGCAGTCAACACATCTGTCTGAGATGACACACTACCGAGCACAACTGTTGAATTTTGGCTCGATTGGGATTGACGGAAATCCAATCAGATCCCACTCTGCGATGACGTCTAGCCGTATAGGGAAATTTAATCCCATGCTTAATATGCTTTTTCATTGGTCATTTCCCGATCCCTCGACTTCACTTCTTACTGATAGCCCTCACCAAGACCCAGGAGGATCATCTCATATCTGGGTCATGGCGCTTTCATAGTAGACGAGATCTGATAACGAGCTTGGGATAATCGTCATTGATATCAAACAAATTGTATGACGAAATCGCACAGGAATAGTGGACAGCTGGCGTGTCTCAACCACCATCACATCGTCGATTCTTGAAGAGTCCGCGTCAGGAGGAAGGAGAGCAGGTTGCTGCATCACTTCACAGGGCCTGCATTGAGCCCGGACAGACGTGTGCACACGTCTACGAACCATGTGACGACTTGTGAAAGCTGCAGCTAATAGGATGACGGTCAAGAGCCATCATGAAACGAGCTAGCATTGCTCGAAACCTCAGAGTCCAAGATAACCAAGTTGGCATACTGTCCAATCATGGATTTAATTTTTGGCATTACTGTCGTCTACTCCTGCGGCTTGTCATCCCCCAAACTTCGACGAGGGTTCCAAGCCCAGGTGAGATCTGACTAGTCTATCTCACTATTTCGGTATCAGAGATCGCTTTATCCGCCAATCACCTGCTGATCCCTGGCTTTACTCGAATTGGCGATTTCGTCCAACGGCCCGCCACCAGCTTCTGGTCCGACTTCTCAATCTGTCTCAAAAGTCCATATGCCACGCGACCACGCCTAACTATACTACATCTACTGTAGGTATGGCATCGCTATCATCAACATACAAATAACACCTATGTAGATTATACTTCTCTCCCAACACAACAGATGAGTCTGCTCTCCTTCGTGTGACATATAACATACTTCCATTTGACAAGCCTTACTCAATTGCAATCATAAATACATAATCGGTCTGATTCACAAGCAAAGTTTTTGGATTTAAACCTATCATTCCATTTCCTCTCAGCCTCAGCGCGCCTATTAAAACACTACCACGATGGGTGTATTAAACTATCTTGGCTTCAAGGGCCAAACGCCTGCTGCCGAAGGCCCCAAACCAGTCCGAGCACTGCCGTCAAGCTGGTATACCTCGCAGGAGATGTATGAGCTTGAGAGGAGGGCGATCTTTTCGAAACGGTGGATGCTCATCACTCATAAACTCAGATTCACAGAGCCCGGCTCATGGATTAAATTTGAAATCGCGGGATTTGAATTTGTCTTATGCCTCAATCGCCAAGGGGGAATCAGTGGCTTCCATAATGTGTGTCGCCATCGAGCTTTCCCCGTTGTCCAGGAGAAGACAGGCACTGCAAGGATCTTTGCCTGTAAATATCATGGTTGGTCGTACGGCCTTGATGGAAAGCTTGCCAAAGCGCCAAAGTACGACGAGCTCGAAGACTTTGATAAAACACAGAATGGTCTATTTCCAATCCATGTTCGCGTCGATGCTAGTGGGTTTGTTTGGGTGAATCTGGATAGCAAGGCTACCCCAGAAGTCCCGTGGGAGGAAGACTTTCTAGGTATCGACACCCAGGAGAGATACAAACAGTTCAACTTCGACAACTACGTCCTTGATCACGAGTACCAGCGTGATGGCGATTATAATTGGAAGATCTTGGCCGACAACTTCAATGAATGTTATCATTGCCCAACCTCACACCCAGACATTCCTACTCTTGCCGATATCGAGACCCATGATGTGGAGGGTGAATTTGGCTGGATTAAGCACCAGTCGGTGCCTACAGAGGAGCAGAAGCGCCTTGGGCTAGCAATCGCCAGCACATACTTCTTCCCCAACGTGTCCATCTCTGTCTTGTGAGTTATTGTCATTTCCTGAAGAAGAAAAATCGCTCATAGTCTCGCTAGGCCACACTTTATCATGCTCCAACGATTCCTGCCCCACGGTCCTAAGAAATCATCAATGCACTATCAGATTTTCCGAAATAAGGATTCAACGGAGGAGCAATTCCGCCTCATCGCTGATTTGTACAACAAAGTCGTCAGCGAGGACAAGGTTCTCTGCGAGCTAGCCCAAAGAAATCTTAACGCTGAAATCTTCGTCAACGGTGAGATGCACCCCAGGCTAGAGAAAGGCCCACTTTATTTCCAGAAAGTCAATCGTACCGTTATTAGAGAGCACTTTGATCGGGAGAAGGCAGCTGGACGAGAAATTTGGCCCGCCAGGCAGCAACTACCAAGCGGTGCCGTAACGAGCAATGAGGATGTCGAACTTTGCTCAAGCTTGTCGTGTCAGTCGAAAGAAGGAGGGTTGGATTGGTAGACCGAGCCCTGAGTCGAAGTTGGAGCATTCCATGTTTTCATCAACATCAAATTGTGAGCATCAGAGCGAATCCATCAGAATGCGGAGTCTTCACGGTGTATGAAAGTGTCTGTTTACATGCCACAGAGTTGTTTCTCACTCTATGACTGATGATGCTGTAGCTGTCTTGTTACAATTACATAGAATCCAAAGATAAGATCCTGACTTGACGTCTTTTGCTGCTATTGTGTGATGGCTGGTATGTCCAGTTACTTTCCACCGTGACCGTTGACACAGCCACTATCACTCGCACAAGGGATGCATGCAGAATTCTATTCCTAATGTCATATCTACTGCACCGCTGAAAGTGTCATTGAGCTGGTGCTGATGCCTCCTTGCACCAGTGCCCATGCAGTCGGAATTGTCCTGCACAAGAGTCAATCATGCACCGTAGCATAAGTATGTTTAGCATTGCAACAGTAGGACACAACACTGATGTCTATGCATATCGCACTTCTCAGAGAGTATACACCCACTTCCCGAGAGCGTAGCAAAAGATGCGTCCTAGCTAGATGTCCGGATCAATGTTGCTCCATAAAGAGATAGCCGGGGCAAGGATACCCGTCATCTGAAGGAACCATCGAATATAGGTAGAAATCCGCCTGTTGCCCGGATTTCAAGAGGAACAAAGAAAATGAGACGAAAGGGGCTCGGTAGAAAAAAGAACGCATGGTAATTGCAGGTCCGGTATTTGGGACAAATGCCAACGTCAGGGCTGGTAATCCATGTCCTTTGGTAGGATGAGACCTCCGTGCATGCCTCAGATAGAAATTCCCGCTATTGCAAAGTCTGACTTGGGTATTGATACGGTACTTAGTCCAAATGTGTTTCCAGAGCTTACGACAACGCATGCGCCACATGGTGAATAGAAGGACGACCTGTGGAGGAGGTTGGTGGCAAATCTACCGCAATTATCCATATGAGAAGAAGCTCTACAGCGAACAATCAAGGGGGCTCTGTTAACTCAGCTCCACGAGAAGTCGCCAGGGAGAACATAATTATGCATAGGTAATGAAGTGCATAATTAACAATGAATATCACGCAGGTGCGACTTCATTCATTCAATATCGCGAAGTGGCGATCAAGCTGAAAATGCAAGTTGAGAAGTGCAGAAGGCAAATTCCTCAAGGAGTAGCTGAAAAGCACGTGCCACGGGAGATGGTGCAAAGCTTTGGCACCAGATACGAGGCAATGCAGATCGAAGGGCTTGTGCGTAAACTCTTGGGAACTCAAAAGTAGTTCTAACAAGCCTACCGTGCCTGCGCAACCGGCTAATCGGGCTGTAGACCTCGTATTCACGAAACAATTTAAGCGCATAGACCAAAACACATGTTGAAAAATACGTACGAAGCTGGTAACAACAAATGGTCCCTTGAGACTATGTTCAAGCTTAGGCTCGGTAGCCAGTTCGAACTCTGACCAACAAGTCTAAACGAAAAACGATCGTAGACCCGCCCCGTTTATCAGCTTCTGAGTAAATTATCCAAGGTATACCTGAAAATCCGGGGGTCTCTCTCGGGTAGACTTCCAATGCTCTCCGTCCGTAACGGCCAATAGTGGCTGAGGGCAGTCTGATGACCCTGGCTGCGTCATTGTCATTATATCGAAGTCAATACTGGTTCTAATGGAAATAGTGGAAGGCGGTGGACTGTGAGACTCTGCAAATGCACTCCATAGATTTCAGCGTAGGTCCTTTATATGAAGTCGTCAATTAGCCCCTCTGATTGTCCATTTGACTAAGGTCACCATCGTGAAGTTCATCTAATCAAACCAACGCACCTCTTGTGGGTGACCATGACTGAACCAATTCCAGGACCACGCGCTCTTCCCCTTGTCGGTAATTTGCTCGATGTCTGGGAAGATCGAGATATGCCCCTTAGGGCAATTGAACGAATGGCCGATGTCTACGGGCCTATCTACCAGATCGACATGAAAGGCCAACGCCGCATTATTTGCAGTTCTGCAGATCTTGTGGAGGAACTCACAAACGAGAAGCGCTTTGTCAAAATTCCACCTGCATCAATAGCAGACAGCCCGGGGCCCAAAGGACTATTCGCAGCCAGAAATGAAGATCCTGATTGGGAACAAGGACACAGGATCCTCATGCCCTCTTTTGCACCCTTGTCAGTGCAAGACATGTTCACTGACATGAAGGATATTGCCAGTCAAATGATCCTGTCATGGGCAAGGAAAGGGCCAGAACATAGAATCCTTGCCACAGAGGACTTCACCAGACTGACGCTTGACACCATCGCTCTCTGCACAATGGGCTATCGTTTCAACTCATTTTACCAAGATGCGATGCATCCTTTTGTCGAGGCCATGAACACTGTTTTCGAGTATAACACCGCCAAAGGAAGCCGGCCAGAATTCGTCCAGAAGCTCATGTGGAGAAAGAATGCCGAGTTTGAACAGGCTCGAAAAGTCTTGCGAGACACCGGCAGAGCCATCATTCAGGGTCGCCGAGACAACCCTGTCGACAAGAAAGATGTCCTGAACACCATGATCTACGGAAAAGATCCCAAGACTGGGCAGAATATGCGTGAGGAATTGATTGTTGAACAGATGACAACCTTTCTCATCGCCGGTAGGTCAAACTTCAACATATGCACACAAGAAACGAAATACTGACTGCAGCAGGGCATGAGACAACCTCTGGTCTATTGTCGTTTGCCCTGATGTATTTGCTTCTCAATCCAGGTACTTATCTGAAGGCCCAAGAGGAAGTCGACAAAGTTATAGGTCAACGTGCGATCGAGATCAAGGACATAAATAAACTCACGTATCTTACTGCTGTTCTACGCGAGACTATTCGACTTAGCCCTACTGTCCCAGTCTTACAGAAGTCGGTCAATCCTGCACTAGCGCATGAGCACGTGCTATTGGGGGGGAAATACAAGATCGATCCCAGCGATCAAATTGTTGCCCTGATGACAAAGGCTCAACGAGATCCGAAGGTATGGGGAGAGACGGCCGAAGACTTTGATCCTGAGCGAATGCTGGACGAGAACTTCGATCGAGTCAGTACACAATATCCAGGATGTTGGAAGGTGAGTCCACAGATTTACTCGCTATTGAGCCCTAGGTGCTGACTTTCCTAGCCATTTGGCAATGGCAAGAGGGCATGCATTGGTCGACCCTTCGCCTGGCAAGAGTCTTTGCTTGTTCTCGCAATGGTACTGCAAGCATTTGACGTCAAGTTTGACAACCCTCACTATGTTCTCAATATCAAGCAAGCCCTGACTATCAAACCGGACGATCTATACATTCGAGTCAGCCCCCGTCGACAAATGGACAGCACTCAGCTTGATCGTCTCCTTCACAGTGATGGGACCAATGGAAAGGTGCAGAAGGGAAGCGAGGAGGGCACGACGGCAAATGGTGCTTCATCCCCATCAAAAGCGCCAATGACCGTCCTCTATGGATCCAACACTGGTACTTGCCAGGCTTTCGCTCAGCGACTTGCTTCCGATGCGACATCTCGTGGCTTTGTCGCCGAAGTCCGCGATCTCGACAGTGCCACAAATTCCCTGCCCAAGAATACCCCCGTGGTCATCATTACATCTTCTTATGAAGGAGAACCTCCCGACAATGCCACTCGCTTCTGCCAATGGTTGAAGGAAAGTGGCCCAGGTAGTATGGACAAGGTTCAGTATACGGTCTTTGGATGCGGTCACCGTGAGTACAATTCCTATACCCCGCCAAGATGAATGAGCTCGCTGACCGCCTACTAGGGGATTGGAGCCAAACCTTTCATCGCATCCCAAAGCTCGTGGACGGGCTAATGACAGATCTGGGTGCCCAGAAGATAGCACCTTTTGGTTCTGCAGACGCCGCGAAAGGAGATATGTACGGAGATTTCGAGGATTGGCTTGATAATTCGCTATGGAAAAGTCTTTCCCCAGATTCCTCCGCGGAACCGTTGAGCAGTAGCATGGATATTGAGATCTCCACGAATGCTCGCGCAACCAATTTGCGTTACGACGTCAGCCTGGCTATCGTCAAGGCTAACTATGTCCTTACCAAAGAAGGTGAACCAGTCAAATGTCACATGGATATTGAGCTTCCATCAGACGCAGTATATCAATGCGGGGACTACCTGGCGATCTTGCCTCAAAACTCAGAAAAGAGCGTCAAACGCGTGATGGCTCGATTTGGACTGCCTTGGGATGCTGTTGCCACTCTCACAACGATGGGACCGTCGACTATCCCAGTCAATACTCCAATATCTGTGTTTGACATTCTTCGCAGCTACGTCGAGTTGTCTCAACCAGCAACTAAACGAGTAGGTCTCAATCAGCTCCCCTGTTTAAAGCCATACTGACGATCGTCCAGATATTGAAGACTTTCTCAGGCTACACATCGTCCGAGGAAGACAAAGCCTTCCTCGACAAACTTGTGGATGACAACAACCTGTTTGAGCTTGAGATCACTAAGAAGCGAACAAGTCCCCTCGACATACTGTTCCAGCGATCCTCGATCAAAATTCCTTTTGGGCAGTTCCTTGGGTTTCTACCACCCCTTCAAGTTCGTCAATATTCGATCTCCTCTTCACCTCTTGAGAATCCAAACAGATGCTCAATCACGTATGGGGTGATTGACACACGTTCATTCTCTGACCCAGCTCATCGCTTCGAGGGTGTGACTGGAAACTACCTCCGCAATCTCCAGGACGGTGACATGATTTCAGTCAGTGTTCGACCAACAGCGAAGAAGACATTCCGACTTCCCGCCGACGCCGAACAGACTCCATTGCTGATGTTTGCGGCTGGGACTGGCCTCGCTCCTTTCCGTGGTTTCCTGCAGGAGCGGTCAATTCAGCTGCTAGCAAATCCAAATCGTCCACTGGCTCCAGCACTTCTCTTCCTTGGGTGCCGAAGTCAAACTGGCGACAGACTCTATGCCGAGGAGGTAGACTCCTGGGTTGCCAGTGGAGTGGCTACAGTCAAATACGCGTTCAGCAAGGAGAGTAACGCATCCGAAGGTTGTGCTCACGTTCCAGATCGTATGATCCACGACGGTGACGAAATATTGAAGCTTTGGAGGAGCGGCGCACGAGTCTACGTATGTGGAACCAGAAGGTTTGCGGAAGGCATACGCGAAGCGGCAAAAAAGATCGCTCTAGACGTTCGCAAGAAAGAAAATGGTGGCGTCGGGGAGAGGAAGGATGAGCTGGAGAAACTCTTCCAGGCAGCAATGCAAGCAAGAGTCGCCAGCGACGTCTTTGACTAGGGTAATATGGGTGTTGCTTGAGAGCCAAGCAAGACTGAGGCTGAGCCAGTAGTAATCTCTGGTTTTATTCATATGATTTGAAGGTAATCGTAACATGATAATATTAGGAAGTCCATTCGAGGTGTCCCGAAAGTTCAGTGGGTTTTACCTTTCGCTTGTTGGCTCCCGAGAAAAGACTAGGGATGGAAAGTTACTGCTTCGTAAATCCCCGGATGGCGCTCAGCTGAAGTGGCAACTTCACAGAAACTGTCACATCAATGCAGAAGCTCTGTTTTCAGTGTATTTGTGCTGCGAAATGCCTAGTACTAGACACGGAAAGGCGTTCAACGCTCGAAACCGAGCATACATGGCTTGAGACCCAGCGACATGGCTCATATGGAGCTCTTCGCAGGTTGATGCCTGAAAGTTAGGGCGTAGCCGATTCCACGTATTAAATCCATCGGGTTCAATGCATGTAGTAATGCCCCAAACATGCCAGAGATCGATCTTGTTTCCACTCTATGATCTCGGTACTCCTTAGCATGAAATGTCAAATAGTAAGATGCCGTAAACAGCACAGCCTCAATGCAAGTAAGAAGAGCTGGAATGCCAACTGTGATGTCTCGATACGTGACTTTAGAGGATCCTTGGACTTGACTCTTGAGGATGTTGAAGACGAACTGTGAATGCATGTTGAGCCTCGAAAGGCAATAATTAGGGGAAGGGATTAGAGACTCACACGTTGGAGCGTGGTTACCAGCACAAATAGTTTGAAGGTAATCAATTTTGGCAGCGCTTTTCGATCAGGCATGTATTCCTTGAACCTTCTTTGAAACTTGATGATGGCGAGAATGACATATATGGTACCTCCGAGCTCAAGGACTTGGATCTGTTTAAGAGAGTCAAACCATGTTTTCGAGCAGCACGAGCAGTTACCAGCGTGGAGTCTTACGATGATGTGACCAACTCTCGGTTTCTTGGAAGTACTACAGGCAGCTTTTGTGGCTTCCAGAATCTCTCCAATGATGATCAAGATCGTATAAAGGGCAAGGTAAAAGAAGACGGTTCTCCAGAGTCGCTGCTGAGGGGTTAGAACTCGAGAACAAACGCAGGGTTGTGCACAAACCCTGAACAATTTCAATGTCCTGCCCGGGACAATTTCTCCATTCTGCTTTCTGTGCTCAACTTGAGCAAAGAATTCTTCGCGGGTATGGGCTTCTGGGACGACAAAGTGAACATAAAGGAGGAAAAGTGACGCCAAAGCCCATGCTTCGTAAAGATTTGGGATCGCTGCTAGGTAGCTTGCTGCCGAGTAACAGTGTATCGCAGCCACTGCAAAAATTGCGAAAATCAAGGGGGTCAATATAATTCTGAAAATCTGCCGTTGTTCGTCCGGGATATTGTATCGACGAAGATGTGGAATGACAAGCCCCAGCCAAAGCAATAGGGTAATCCCAAAGCAAACCCAAGCGACAATGAGGATGATGCGCTGAAAAGTGAATGAACCGGAGATGGGCTCTCCTGTGACATATGCTGTGGAAGGCGCATCTGGGCACTGATTTGAGCGAACTCGTAGAGCCATAACTGTCGGAAACTGATATTCAGGTAGAAAATATCCTGAGAAGCGGTTGGAATCAGAACTTTGATGTCGTTCCTGAAAACTGAATCGTGTACAAGAAAGGCACAGAATAGAGTAAGCAGTATATGAATGGACCAGATTCACTCATCCAACATAGAACTGAAAGACATTACTCCAGGACCAATGCTCACGTCTGGACAGTTCAATAAGTCAAGGATGTTTCGGTTTGCAAAATCCTGAAGCTTCTTGCTCAACCAGGCATCATAATTTCTCGAGAAAACCCAGCTATTGGGAAATAGATCGAGGTCCAAGGAAGTAGCATGGAAGGCCAAAGTCAAGTGGGATTTTGATTTCAATGAACCTAACGCCCAGAACTACAGCATTGGATGAACCATTTAGATTACCTGTATTGACAATACACCTGAGCCTCAGTTGAGGGTTTGGACCAATCAATGATCATTGCTGCGCCGCCATTCGTCTCAATTGGTAAAGAGTTCTCCCCTGTCATCTGTGCAATACGAGGATGGCTACATTTATGTAAATCTAGGTTGTTGGACGTGCGAGGTTGCCTTAGACCCACCGAGTCCTGCTCTGCAGTACTCCGTATACGATGTGAAGCCCCGCTGTTTCTACACGGACCCACCATACAAGTTCTTGGATATTTACCCTGCATCAACACACGGATAGGGATGGGACGTGCACAATTCAGCCGCACGGACTGACTAGAACCTAAGATTCGTCTCAATAGATTCTAAGCCACCTATTACAGGTGCCAAACCCTAGTTCTGTAAACTAAGAAAGATGTGTGCCTAAACATGCAAGGTATGAATTGTTCGTGAAATCACGAGGAGGATGGGTGATTTGGCTTTGTAGCTCGTGCTCCGAGGCTCAAACAATAGCTAAAACTTGTTGGATCATCTCTTTGCCTCCAAACGAAATTGTTTGTTTGTGAATGTGTTGATGATATCTTTTTCCCCGAGTCATCACGCCAGAGGCAAGCCAGGTGCCATCCACAATGGCTCTCCAGTCCTCGCGCCGCTCGAGCACTGAAGATGACTACCGTGAAGTTTTCGAAGCTGCGATGGATGATCGCATTCGAGACGGAATTGAAGAATTTTCCAAGCGCAAAAAACCAAAATGGCATCAAAAACATCTGAAAACCGGCAATCATGATCGGGAGCTGAGTCGAATCGCGACAAACTTGTCTAATGCAGTAGGGATCTCTTCAAGAACACTGGCAGATATTGACCCACGCCTGGATCCCAAGAATGAGAACTTCGAGTTCCGTTTCTGGGCTTCATCTTTCCTTCGGCTTCTCAGAGAGGATGGAATCAAGCGAGCTAGCGTGGGTTTCACTTTCAAGAACCTTAGCATCTTGGGCAATGGATCAAGCCTAGCCATTCAGCCGACCGTGGCATCCCCATTCAAGGCCCTCTTAAGGCTCCCGCTGCAATTCAAAGCTCCAAAGCGAGGGCCGCAGACAATCTTGCACAACCTGAATGGTTCGGTTGATCAAGGCGAAATGTTGCTTGTCCTTGGTCGTCCAGGTAGCGGCTGTACAACTTTCTTGAAATCCATTACTGGACAACTGAATGGACTCACGAAATCAAATGATTGCGTCATTAGTTATGATGGCATTGCTCAGGATCAGTTTCTGAAGAATTTTCGAGGCAGAGCAGTCTACAATCAAGAAGACGACGAGCACTTTCCGCATCTCACAGTCGAGCAAACCATCTCTTTTGCCGCAGCAGCCATGACCCCGCAAACACGCATCCAAGGAGTTTCCCGCGAAGTCCATACAAAGCATATGTGTGAGGTGATGCTGAGAATCTTTGGTCTATCACATGCTCGTCACACCAAAGTAGGAAACGACACCATTCGAGGTGTCAGTGGAGGAGAAAGAAAACGAGTCAGTATTGCCGAAATGGCGTTAGCAAGATCTTCAATCGCTGTTTGGGACAACTCCACGCGTGGCCTAGACTCTGCAACTGCGCTTGAGTTCATCCGATCTATGAGGACTTTGTCAGACCTGATTGGGCTCACGCAGGCTGTGGCCGTATATCAGGCTAGCCAGAGCATGTATGATCTCTTTGATAAGACTCTGGTCTTGTACGAAGGGCGTCAAGTCTACTTCGGCCCTAGTCAGTCTGCAAAGTCATACTTTGAAAGAATGGGATGGTATTGCCCTGCACGCCAGACAACTCCGGACTTCCTCACTTCTGTCACCAATCCTTCAGAGCGACAGATTCGTCATGACCATAACAAAAAGGTGCCTTTGACAGCAATTGAATTTGAACAGTATTGGCAAGAATCTGACGAATACCGCACATGCATGACCGCAAATGATCGCACGGAAGATGTCGAACAGCAGGAAGGTCGATTGCAAGCTCTCCGGGAGGCGCATCAACAAGCCCAAGCGCGCCATACGCGCGGACAATCCCCGTATCTGCTCTCAGTCTACATGCAAATACGATTGTGCATGAAACGATCATCACAACTACTTTGGAACGACAGAGCATCCACAATCACTCTTGCTTGTGGGCGAATCATCCTCGCGCTTATTGTGGGGAGCATTTATTTTGGTCCAGCCGATACGACTGCTAGTCTTCAATCTTCAGGCTCAGTGATATTCCTGGCGACGTTGTTGAATGCGCTTATGGCAGTGACTGAAATCGGGGCCCTGTTCGCAAAACGAGGCATCCTGGAGAAGCAAAGTACTTTTGCGTTTTACCATCCTTTTACCGACGCTCTTGCTGCGTTCGTAATTGATATACCAGTCAAGTTCGTCATCTCGATTCTCTTCAACGTGGTCTACTACTTTCTCGCTGGATTGACCCCAGAGGCATCGAAATTCTTCATCTTTGTCCTATTTACTTTTACTTGCACCGTCCTCATGTCGGCAATCTTCCGCAGTGTTGGGGCCGCTTGCAAGGCTGCACCGCAGGCGTATGCCATTGCCGGCATTGGAATCCTCATCATGATCATCTACACCGGATTCGCCCTCCAAACAACATATATGCATCCTTGGTTCCGATGGATCAACTACATCAACCCAATTGCCTACGTGTTTGAGGCGCTTTTGGTCAATGAAGTGCATGGCAAGGAGTATCTTTGTGCTACGGACAACTTGGTACCCCCCTACGCAAGTGGAAGCTCGAATTTTGCTTGCGCATTCATCGGAGCAGAGCCTAATGAACGAGTTGTGTCCGGTGATCAGTGGGTTAATTCTGCTTATGGGTACTCATATTCTCATCTTTGGCGGAATCTGGGCATATCGATCCTATACCTCGTGGTCTTCTTGGTAATATACCTTGCGACTTCAGAGTTCAAGTCATATGCCGAGGCCGGTGCACAGAGGCTTGTGTTCCGCTCCATCGAATCAGCTCGTCTAGCTGCTCACCCGGAAGATGATGTCGAGTCTAAGGTCGGCCCTCGGAGCTCAGGCGACATGAGATCGGGTGATCTAAGACCTTCGTCGAGTACAAAATCAAACAACGCTGAAAAGGAAGTATCAACTCCCGGTGAAGATCAAAGTAAAGGACAAATAACAACGGCTGGTGGTACTCTGACCTGGCATAACCTTTCTCTTGATATCCAGTTGATGGGTCAGCGTCGACGTTTACTGGATGGGGTTTCAGGCATGGTCTTACCTGGAAAACTAACCTGCCTTATGGGCGTCTCAGGCGCAGGAAAGACGACCCTTCTCGACACGCTAGCTCAGCGCCAAAACACAGTCGGCGAAGTTTCAGGCAGTATCGCGGTTGATGGCGAGGCACTCAGGCCATCTTTTCAAAGGAAGACAGGCTACGTGCAGCAACAAGACCTTCACATGGCTACCAGCACCGTTCGCGAAGCTCTCAGGTTCTCAGCCCTATTGAGACAACCTGCGCATGTCTCGAAAGATGAAAAGTACGCATACGTCGAAGAAGTTATGGACCTTCTTAATATGCAAATCTTTGGTGATGCTCTGGTGGGACGACCGGGCGAAGGACTGAACATCGAACAAAGGAAACTGCTCACTATTGGGGTAGAACTTGCCGCTAGACCGACTATTCTCTTCCTGGATGAACCAACTTCAGGCCTTGATTCACAAAGCTCGTGGACTATCATCTCAATTTTGCGGAAATTGGCGGATAGCGGTCAAGCCATCCTTGCAACCATTCATCAGCCATCCGCCATGCTATTCGAGCAATTCGATTCCATTCTTCTACTCGCCAAGGGAGGTCGAACGACCTATTTTGGACCCCTTGGTCTTGATTGTCAGGTGGTCACTACCTACTTTGAGAGCCATGGCGCGAGAGCCTGTTCACCTCAAGAGAATCCCGCCGAGTATATTCTTGCAGTCATTGCAAACTCCTCACATGACTGGCCCGCGATCTGGAAATCTAGCGAGCGGTGTCTGGAATTACAGAGGCAAGTCGTAGGAGGTACCGAGAAGTCACACCAACAAGACAACTCTGACAAGGACCGGGAATATGCCCTATCTTTCTTCCAGCAATTTCGTTACGTCTTCCTGCGGGTTGCTCAGCAATATTGGAGAAGTCCTGGATACATTTATGCCAAAATACAATTTGGGCTCCTCGCTTCCCTATTCATTGGTTTCACCTTCTTCCTCCAGAACTCGTCCATTACTGGCATGCAGAACATCATTTTTGCGATCTACATGCTGAATTCGATCTTTTCGACTATTGTAAATCAGGTATGATTACCCCTCCTCTTTGATGAATTTAGGCTCACCTACGTTCGAACAGATCATGTCACGTTTCATTCCGCAACGTGCATTGTTTGAGGTCCGTGAATCTCCCTCAAGAATGTACAGTTGGCTCGTCTTCGTGCTCGCCAATGTTTTGATTGAACTTCCGTATCACGCCTTTATTTCTGTCATCGTTTGGGCCTGTTGGTATTTCCCAGTATTTGGCCTATATCAGGATTCGGGGGACAGAGCTATGATGTGGGCTTTCTGTCTTCAATTCATGCTCTATGCCTCGACCTGGGCACAGATGCTTATCTTTTGTATGCCGAGCACGGAGACTGCCGGGACGATATCCAATATTCTTTTCACTATGACACTCCAATTCAACGGTGTCCTGCAACCTCCTAATGCCCTCCCTGGATTCTGGATCTTCATGTACCGTCTTAGTCCATTCACCTATCTGATCGGAGGATTTGCTGGCATTGGCCTGGGAGATCGGCAAATCCAATGCGCAGAAAATGAGCTTGGCATCTTCGATCCCCCATCCGGACAAACATGCGGCCAGTATCTTGCTGCTTATATGGAGAATGGTGCACCAGGCACGTTGTTGAACCCGACTGCCACAGTGTCGTGCGAGTACTGCCCGTTGAGGAATGCAGATCAATTCCTGGCAGCCTCGTGGATTTATCCCTCCGATGCATATCGCAACCTCGGCATACTATTCGCATTCATTGGATTCAACGTAGCCGCGACACTGGGGCTGTATTACATTTTCCGTGTGAGGCGATTCTCTATACAGGGTCTCCGGAGGACTAAGCCTGGAAAACCTGAAAAATCAGAGGAAGAAGAACCAAAGGAAGGGACCAAATGGTCGTATCTGGGCTTCTACGTCCATTTGGGTTGGGGCATCCTAAGGAATATGGTCCGATAGTTCTATGCGATGTTATGATTGGATGTTAAACGCTTTTAAGCCTCCTCAGATTCACCCAGATGATAGGAGTAATAAAGGCGCGAGGTAGGCTAGGAATGCCAGGACTGCCAAACTATGTTCTAGCTAAAAGTTCGAACGCCCGCCTGCGGTGTGGTTACAGACGTGCTCTGCGATTTGTAGACAAGGGAGGTCTTGACGCGGGGGCCAAGCATATGATGAATTAAAATGGACTGTGTTCGATAGACCTGTCTGTTCTCGTGGAGCACCAGGTATTGTTTTACTGATTCCTTGTTGAAGATATATGATCGACGATGTCGTGTCACGTGAGCCTCTCCGTTTGCCGCGGACCTCGGTGAGTCGTACCCTTTGACTTTTAGTGAATTCGGCAGAGCCATTGTCTATCACATCGGGTTCGGTAGATTTTCTCGGTAGCCCTCGGTAATGTACCGAAACCCTTCCATGAAGCGGCGGGAGCCTAAGAAGCCCAATCGTTCTAGCAAGTCTGGAGAACTCTGGAGCTGCCTTTCGGTTTGACCCACCATAATCTCTTACAACGACTCAAGTGCATCGAGCTCTCTTCTTTGGATGCTAGATAACGGTATCCCGGATATTCGAGGGATCACTCCGTAACACGGCACGCTAACATGGTCAACAGGTCCAGACCATCAGGTCATCTAGCCGAATAACGTGGTTTGAAGTTACTTAATCACACTGGAGTTGTCATAGCTACCTGATCAGTCAGCTGGTTCTCGCCGGACTCTCCTGTATCGATGTTATTTCGCCCAGAAACAGTTTCTGTAACATCTACCATTAATTACAGAACCCCTCCCTGGCACTCCTCTGGTTACTTGTCTTGCCCTTGGCAGCGTTATCGACCATAGTCGTCGTTGGCTAAACGACTGGACTGATGCCTCCCGTAGGTCGAGATCGGGCACAAATTGTCTGCGTGGCATGTCACAGCAGAAAGGTGCGGTGCAATTTACAAGAAAGCCGGGATGGAGTTTGCAGGAATTGCCGTCGCCACAACAAACGATGCATAGTGAGGACAGGTCAACGGAATGGGGCTTTGTGTAAGAACACCACAACTGGCAGCTCCCCGCCTCGACCCACCAACAGGGAGGCCGTCTCACTAGAGGATTTAAGTACCCAGAGAACCTATCTGGGAGAGAATACATTCTTAGCTCACGAGGCAGAAAGTCAACCTACCGTTCCACAAGGCCTTGTGCCAGCACTGACGCCCCTCCATGAGTCGGTCTTGCGACTTACGGAAGCCACAAGTCTGCCTAAACCGCCACTACTCAAGGCGTTGACAGAGTCTTACTTTGAACATGTTTTCCCTCGGTATCCTGTTGCTGAACCAGCAGATATCGCGAACAGCAAATCCAGCCTTCTGAAGCAGGCTGTTTGCTTTGCAGGCAGCCTTATGCGGCATTCCGACAACCCACGGCATCTGGCTGTCACTCAATCCTTCTATGAGAAGACCAAACTAATGATCCTCCTCAACTATTCATCTAATCCTATCGATACTCTTGCTGCGATGTGTTTGATGATCTGTTGGAGTGCGAACCCTTCAGACTCGTTGAGTCTTGATGGTCCTTGGCATTGGACGGGTGTCGCTATCCGTCTAGCACTACAAATGGGGCTTCACAAGGAGGCTACGTATATCAATCAACCACATGGATCACGCCTTCGACGAATATGGTGGATTTTGTTGGTATGAGTCACTATCCTGTGGTAACGTGCTGTGTCGCAATAACTAACCTTTCGTAGAATGCAGACCGATTACAATCGGTTTGTTTTGGACGCCCTTTGGCGGTTAGGGCTTCAGATACGAACACTCAGCTGCCTCAACTTTCCGATTTCGCTGAGGATAACATATCTAGCAAGGTCTTTGTTCATTATGCTACGTTGATCGAAATTGTGGGAGGAATTGCAAATTTCGAAATACAAGGCCGGAAAGCGTCAAACCCCGAACGAGAACAAATTTACTGTTCGCTGTGTGACTGGATTAAGAATCTGCCGGATAGCATTCGTCTATTCGACACGAAAGGGGCGCGCCAACAATATCATGCATCTGTTGTTGAACTTCACATACTCTTCTTTACAGCCATTATTCTCTTGGACGCCCATCGAATGAGAGTGGAAAACAAGTGGTATATGTCCACTCCTTCGGTCATCGCAGCTTCTTGTGGTGCCAGGCTCATGGAAGAAGTTGAGTGCCACGAGGACATCGCATCTATGAGTTCTCCGACTGTTTTCTACATCATGGTTATCAGCGTGCCACTGCTGTACCATCGAGTGTCATCTGAAGAGAAAGAAGAGATCCGTCGAGCCGAAGTTCAAATCTTATACTCCAATCTCGAGCTGCTGAGCGCAAGATATAGTTCCGCCATTTTGGCGCGGCGATATCTCGACAAAATTAGCGATGAGTGCAGAAAGAGTCGCGCTGAAGTGCAAGAAGAACTTGAAACACACCAAGTAACCATATCTGAACATAATGCGAGCCAGTCATCATGGGCTACTGGGGACTTATTCCCATTTCCCAGCAACTTCTGTCCCAATATGGAACTTGTGGACTTCGATATCAACGACCAAACGAATGGTGCCTTGGAATTCTTCCCTGTCAGCAACGACCCCCTTCATTGGGCTTTCAATGACCCGCCTGCATTTCTGGACTTCTTCCAGATAGATGACATGACAGAGACATTAAGTACGGCTATCCCTTTCGATCCAGCTTCAAGTACCTTCTCGTGAGGTATAGCGAGACCCAACTATTACCTGATATCGATGCATATATCAATTGCTTAATGGTTATAGAAACACACTAGCACTTGACACTGCTACAATTGAGAAAGTATATATATGGATCTAGTTGAAAACCAATTCATCTTATGATGCATCGATACAGTATGCTTATAGCGCAGCATTGGAGATAGTACCGTCGACAACGTATCGACTTAGTATGATTGCATCATAGTTCCAGCGAGTTCAGGACAGTATGGATGCTAACGCCCGCACTTTGTCTGATAACACATCTGATACAACGTCGATTCGAAGCAGTGTCTCTACTATATAGTATTGATCCGTTAGAGAGACCCGAATAGTACCAATTCGGAATTGAGAGTAGAGTAACTATATGAACCTGGTTTACGTGAGGGCAGCTTGAGATGATATCACAGGTCCTTGAGTCCAGAGATCCTTTGGACCGCCGCATTTATAGAGTATAGCGAAAACCCTCGACCCCCTCCAGCACGACTCCCTCTTCGTCAGCTCTCCTATTCGCCCTCCTGAAAATGAATGTCAGGAAGAGAGTGAAGCCAATAGTGATTGCCATGCATGTGAACGAAGCGTAGAGGCCGGGGCGGAATGTCGGTGCGTCTTGAGCTCGGAAGACGACAGCGCCAATAACTCCACCAATCCCGCCCATCGTTGTTTGAATAGGGATGGCAATTTGTCTTTTCGCGGCTCCTGGGGTGTTGTTCATCAAAAATGCGATTGCTGTTGGGATAGCACAGAAGTTGCCAATCACCCCAAAAAAGATACCGACTAGGCGGCTGCCATTGTTAGGACCCCACCCGATGAGAAGGAATCCCACGATGACAAGAAGGCATAGGCCGATGATAAATGGAGCGCGTCGCTTGATCCTGTCTGCCCACCAGGCGATTCCAACTGAACAGATGGCTGCGGCGACGTATGGAGGAGTTGCCAGGCACTGGCTGGCCGCGACGCTGTAACCTAGACCTCGAAGAATACTGGGGGCGAAGAAGGCCATCGTGTAGCCCCCTGCAGTTGGAAATCCCATCAATGAGCCCATCATCCAAACTTTCCAGTCCTTACAAGCTTCGATAAGGTGCTTGCGCTGCAGCTTTTCGAGTTCTTCGCCACGATCCTCGAAAAGCCGACGTTGCATAAACGCCCTCTGAGTCGAGTCCAGCCATTTAGCCTTCTCTGGAAAATCAGAGACGAAGATGTAGAATGGTACAGCTAGTACGATCGTCACTATGCCGGGTATAATGAAGATCCACCGCCATCCACGGAGTCCGCCAACTCCCTCCATTTGGCTGAGGCCATAGCAGATGATTCCGTTAAAGCCTGACATGAATGCTCCTCCGATGAACCAAAATGCTACCCTTTTCTGTACCTCGTATCTCTTATACCATGAAGAGATAAGGTATAGGGCAGCAGGCTAGGAGAGCGATCAGACATCGGCACAAGATATAAGATGGCAGTCGACTTACATTGAATCCTGATTCAAATAGACCAAGAAGAACTCGTAGGCCACACATCTGGCCAAAGGTGTTAACGAACCCAAAACACATTGCGACAACTCCCCAGCAAACAATCAGGAAAGTAAGATATCGAGATACCCCGATTCTTCTGATTATTGTATTGCTTGGAATTTCGAATATGGTGTAGGTAATGAAGAACACCATGAGGACAATGTTATAGCGATTTCCATATAGCTCCAAGTCCTCAGTCATGCCAACAATACGAGCATTCGAGATACTCGTCCTGTCAATGAAAGACAGAGCATAGAGCAAGGTCAGGCATGGGAGTAGTCGCCAGTCAGCCTCGCGGATAAGTTTGCGCTCCTCTTGGGGCGAGATAGTGCTCTCATCGTAAGGAGCATTTTCTTTATGCTCGCCTGTAATGGTGACACTGATTTTAGACTCGTGATCTTCCATCGTGGCCATGGTGTGGAACAAGGAGAGTAATCGCCGGTAGTTCAAGGTTTTTCAATATTTCCAAAATAGCCGTACTGGCACAAGACGGTTTTGGCTCTTGATTCTGCGTGTCCTCCGAAATCCTCGCTGAAGGGAGCAAGTGCATTCTTATATCTGACTGACGACCATGTTCGTTGGGCCCCTGGCTAATTCAGTGTAATGTGTGTTGCTGTTGATCATTTGGCGAAGTGTATTCAAAAGCTCGGTGACCCTTACCGAGTGCGGAGCCGAGCATTGAGAGCCTCTGGGGACCCCGCAGAATCTAATTACTTTTGATGGAGAATTTTGAGGTTGGACTGCTGTTTAGCCAATTGGGGTTACCTTACAAAGTCCGGTGGCAGTCGAGGCATGGAGGAGGAGAGGGGAAAAGAACCATGGTGGCAAGGTAGTTTTCAAAGAACGGTTGGCGGTAGGCGGTTGTCGGCATTGAGCCGAGGACCATCCTTGGACCGAGCAGGTCAATCAAATGCCGCGGGATCTATCGCTGCTTAGTAAAGGAAGGATGAAAACCTGGAAGGAATCGAGCCTTCCGACTCACAGAAGCCTAGGATCTGATATATGCTAATCTAGCTGAAAAAACTGGATTAGATCTTTGAAAAAGAGCTGCAGTTCAAAGGCAAACTTGGTCTTTTCATACTTGTTTCAACATGGAAGCTACCCCGTCTGCAATGAAAGCGGTCATATTAACGGGAGTGGGTGCTCTGGACAAATTACAGTACACTGAAAATCACCCTGTACCTAAATTGGCCCCTGGCCAGTTGCTTGTCCGCAACGAGATCGCTGGAATTAATTTTGCAGACATCTATGTACGGACGGGTCACTACCCCGCAGGAGGCTCATTTCCAGTCGTGAGTGGTCTTGAGGGTATTGGCCTAGTAACAGCGATAGCAGAGCCAAACCCTCTAGGCTTCCAGATTGGAGATCGCGTTCTGTGGCAAGGATTTGGCGGGTATGCTGAGTACAGCGCAGTACTTGGGGACAAGGCGGTCAAGGTACGGCCAGAAATCTCCAGTGAAGATGCCGTCGGGAGTTATATCACGGGAATTACTGCATTGAGTCTGATTGAGCAGGCATACACAGCGGCATCAGGAGAAACAGTACTGGTGCATGCTGCCGCTGGTGGCGTGGGCTTGATGTTGTGCCAGCTCTTGAAGCATCGAGGCGTCAACGTGATAGGCACCGTAAGCAACGAGAGCAAATTTGGCATTGTCAAAAAGAGCGGTGCTCAACACGTTATCACATACAAGTCAAGTACAGGAAAAGATTGGATCGACCAGGTCAAGGACCTCACAGACGGAAAAGGGGTCCATGCGGTAAGTAGATTCATACTCATTACACTTCAAGCTGATCATGTGCTTTCAGGTGTTCGACAGTGTCGGGGAAGACACTTGGAAAGGAAGCTTCGAGGTCACCAAAAGCCGGGGTAAAGTGGTTTTCCTTGGGATGTCGAGTATGTTTCAGGGACTTATGCAATCTGGACATATGAATGCTAACCAATGCATTAGGTGGACCCATACCCCCAGTTGACCTCTGGACTTATAGTCGAAAAAGAAACATTTCTATTCTTCTGTCTGCGCTTGCCAACGCAATCGATACGCGAGAACTGCTGGAGGAGTATTCCGGCAAGATACAGGAGCTAGTGATCAAAGGTGTGATTGAGGCTACTAAGCATAAGACGTATGCTCTCAAAGATGCTGCCAAGGCACAGGAAGACCTTGAGAGCAGGGGAACCATTGGCAAGTTGTGTCTTAGAGTATAAATGGACCTTTGAATAGCATATCCAGAATATTAGAAATTCGTAGTCTGGTGGGAGCATGGGCAAATTATCCTCTAATAAACTAGTTGGCCATCTTGGACATTACACTGCCGCGAGTCAACAGGAGCTTTTAATTCTCGATGATTATCTCCAAGCCCCATAGTCCTCTGTTGAAGGATGTGCGTAATGCGATTCATTGAGCTATTCATATTGTAAACGTCACGGGATAGAGCGCTGGTTGCGGCACTCTGATTCCGAGAATACTGGTGAAGCCAGAGCCGAGAAATGAGGTGGGTTGAGCACTCAAGTCAAAGAGCCAGCCCGGCGTAAAGTCGGTCCACATGTTCGGTACTGTCAGCACTTATACCGAAGTTTGGTGGCGGTCCCAAAGTTCATCACTACAACTCGGTAAGGCCTGGGAGCTCAGGCTCTGGAATCTCAAAGGAGCTATCATGAGCACGAGTACCGAGAGTGATAAGATTGAGAAGGGGTTCCATTGGGCCGAATCCATGAGGCCGCGTCGAGCAATTGCCTTATCTGTGAGGCCCAGTTCGGCTCCTAGATCGTACTAATGCACCGGCCTATTATTGAAATTATGTTAAATGTTCCATGGTTCGCAAAGGTCAAGAGAATCGAGGCATCACTCATCGTCCACATTACAGACTGCATCAGCCTTGACACATCATGATCATGTCATTGAGCGAAGACGGCTACCCCCTCGAGAGCCCGCTCGGGTGTACTCGACATCTTAGGATCATTACTGTTGGCGCGGGTGCCAGTGGTCTCAACATGATCCGAACACTGCGTAAGAATCTTGACAACTACGAGAATGTGGTCTATGAGAAGAACCCAGATATTGGGGGGACTTGGTATGAAAATCGCTATCCAGGTTGCAAATGCGATGTACCATCACAGAACTATCAATTCACCTGGCGCCATAATCCCGACTGGTCAGGATTCTATGTGGAGGCTCCAGAGATCCTACAATACTTGAAGACCATTGCCACAGAGCAAGACTTCTGGCCAAGTGTCAAACTAAGCCATCAAGTGATCGGAGCCGAATGGGTTGAGGATGAAGGAATGTGGCACGTCAAGGTCAAAAACTTGTCCACCGAGGAAGTTTTTGAGGACCAGTGCCACTTTCTTCTCGACGCTACAGGAGTCTTGAAGTGAGTGAAACAAATCTCCTTTCTGAACTGACCACAAATTAACGGCCGTAGTAAGTGGCAGTTCCCCAACATTGAAGGTCTTCACAGTTTTGAGGGACCAGTAGT